GGGGGAGTGCGGAGCTGCAATTGGTATTGTAGAAAGGAGTTAGTGTTGAGGGTTGGATGGGTCAATGAACCCGGAAATCTTATTTGGCTCAAGATGGCCCAGAGCCGTCCGCTTTTCGTTGAAAAGGTTGTGTCCGTGTGTTGGGTGTTGGGTCTTGTGGGAGGTAGTAGTCCCGACCCTTCTCCCTTAGCCTTTCCCTCTAGGGTGCGATTCTTCTCTTACTGGTTCGATCTGGGAAATCCATATAGGCAACTGTTAAGGGTTGGTTTCTTTCCCTTTTCCCCTTCGGTTGCCCCCGTACCCTAAACCCTACACCCTAAACCCTAAACCCCTCACTGGCAGGTCTACAAGGGCATCTGGACGCGATCCCACACGGCAGAGGGCCTAGCTGGAGGTTTAGAGGTTTGGGGTTCCGGGTTCCGGGTTCCGGGTTCCGGGTTTAGGGTTTATAAGGTTTAGGCCGTGAGGGCGTGTAGGCGTTAAAGAGTTAACGGAACGGTTTGCCCAATTTAGAGAACAGTATGCCGTATGCCTTTAAGATATTCCTAGGTAACCCCCCCCTAACTTTAAGCCCTAAATGCCCTAAACGTTTCATTCCTAGGATACTCTGGACAGAAGCTCGAAGACCCTGAAGCCAATGCTGAACCCTTTGAGAACCTCGACACGTCATAGTGTGGCGTAGCAATTGGGTTTGTTTTAGCTTTTGATGTGGTTGGGTTTAGATTTTGCGATAGTGCGTCTTGCCATGACCGGAAGAAGTCCAACCAATCGAACCCAAAACCCTAAACCCTAAACCCTGTTTTTTCTAGCAGCGGTCTCTCACCTCGAGGCCTTTTCGGGGGATTTAGGGACGAAGGGGTTTAGGGTTTAGGGCGTAGGGTTTAGGGGGTTTAGGGACCAAGGGCTCAGGGCCTCAGAGTTTCCGGGGGCCCCTTAGCGAGCTAATGACCTACTTCCGCTGCCAAGGTCGTCGCGATCAAGCAGATCAGCGCAGCTTGGTGACGTTCGCGGGGTAAGTTGGGCCCAGAGTAGGCCCCTAATTCCCTTTTCTTTTCTAGGGTTTAGTTTCCCTTATAAGCTGATTTAAACCAAAAAGGGTAGCCTTTCTTTATTCCTAGGTTAAGCTTGGGTCTCGATGACCTGACTCTTTGCAAGGCCAAGTTGGGAGCCACTGTCCCCTCGATGGCTAGTTTTGCCAAACCCCAAAGCCCGAAGCCCACAACCCCGAAACCCGAAAACCCGAAAACCCAAAAACCCTAGCCCTAGATCCTTAAACCCCATAACTTTGAACCCCAAACTCTAAACCCTAAGTGACCCAAGTGCCCCACTTGTTCCAAGCAACTCCAGCGTCCTAAGCGTTCGGGCGTAGCTCCAGAAAACCCTGCACCCTAAACCCTACACCCTCAACCCTAAACCCTAAACCCTAAACCCTAAGTCAATGTACATGTTGCTTTGTACACACCGAAGCCCCAGCCCCATATGAGAGATTTTGAATGGGCAGTCTAGGGTGCGTTTGCCCCCTAAACTCTAAACCCTAAACTCTAAACCCGACTGTTGCGCACTTATGGAGTTTGGCACACCTTGAATCCCCAAACCCTAATGAGTTGCCCCAGCGGAGAGTGAATCTCGAATCCCAACTCAGGCTCCTTCACTCCTGTGCCTAGGGTTTGGGGGTTTTGGCATCGAGGTTTAGGGTTCAGGGGTTGAGGTTTAGGATTTGGGTTTGAGGGTTTGGGTTTGGGGTTTAGGGTTCAGGGTTTGGGGTTTAGGGTTTGGGGTTAAGGGTTTGGGGATTTAGGGTTTGGAGCTTAGGGCTTAGGGTGCAGCAGCCTTGGGCTCGTCAGGAAGATGCAAGGATGCGTTCAGAGCAACAGTTGGCCTTCGTGCGGGAGATGAGCGTGCTGACGCAGGCGGGGGTTTAGGGTTCAGGGTTTAGGGCCTAGGGTTTAGGGGTTTGGGTTTATAAAGGGTTTAATTAGGGTCTAGGGTTTAGGGTCTAGGGTGCAGGGTTTAGGGTTTAGGGTTTAGGGGCTCTGCTTGTTTTGCATGGCGTTGACCCGAGTGGCCCGAAACCTTGAACTCTGACCCCCAAACCCGAAACCCTAAACCCTCAACCTTGAACCCTAAGCCTTAAACCCTAAACCCTAAACCCTAAACCCTAAACCCTGGGCAGCATCGGATTTCAAGGCCGAAAAACGATGAATCTTAGAGCCTCCATAAGGTGGCTTCCGTAAACTAGTGAGGGCACATAGGGTTTTCAGGGTTGTAGGGTTTGGGGTTTCGGGTTTAGGGTTTAGGGCTGGTTTGGGGTTTAGGGTTTAGGATTTTGTCGTTTCAGACTCCCAGACGCCTCTTGTCATGCAGCGTGCTTGCGTTGGTTCGGCGACTGAATGCCAAGCAAACCCGAGGGGACCCGAAATCCTGTAAACCCTCCTAACTCTACGAGCCCTATCAGCCCTACAGACCCCTGCACGCCCTACATCCCTAGAATCTCTATAAACCGTGCAAACCCTATAAACCCTGTAAGCCCTCAAAACCCTATATGCCCTATGAACCCTGAACCCTGAACCCCTAAACCCTAAACCCTAAACCCTAAACCCTAAACCCTAAACCCTAAACCCTAAACCCTAAACCCTAAACCCTAAACCCTAAACCCTAAACCCTAAACGCTTGAAAACGCTGTGCGCAGGTTCGGCATGAAAACCTGGCATCTTGACTCAAAGAAGCATGTGGGGGGCTGGAGTGCCTGTAAGGGTAGTTGTTAGGGTTTAGGGATTGGGGTTTCGGGTGTCGGGTTTAGGGTTCTAACCCTAAACCCTCAACTCTCTAACCCTCGGCCCTAAACCCTAAACCCTAAACTCTAAACCCTGAACCCTGAACCCTAAACCCTATAAACCCTAAACCCTAAACCCTAAACCTCAAGCCGGTCCAAGCTCGAGGTTCAGCTCTACGGCGTTTGCCTGGCTCCCCGCCTCCGGATCGTCACGGAGTTCTGCGGTGGCGGCGCTGCCTTTGAGCATCTCTGCTTCAGTGCTGGGGTGTTGGGCTTTAGGGGTTTAGGGTGCAGGGTTTTGGGTTTATAAGGTTTATAAGGTTTATAGGGTTTAGGGTTTAGGGTTTAGGGAGGCTTGGGGTGAAGGGTTTTCGGGTTTAGTGGGGTTCTGGACTTCGTTTAGATTTGAGGGTTTACCTTGTGGTCGCAGGGCCACTAAGGTTTGAGAGCCCTAAACTCTCAACTCGAAGCCCTAAACCCGAAACCGAAGGCCAGAACTGACACTTTAGTTCTCCGGGATGGTTCGGTCTGCGGTGTTGGGGAACAGCAGGTTTCAGGGGTTCAGAGTTTAGGGTGTAGGGATACCATGCTCACCTGCTCACCACTACTTCAATTCCTTCATGTGACTTCGGCCAAGATGGGAAGGCCTACGAGTGGCAAAAACTCTGAACCCCAAACAGGTTTAGTTCAGGATGTTGGACTTGGTTTAGGTAACGCCTCTTGGCGAATATGAGGAGGCTCCTTGCGGGCTTTAGGGGGAGTCGTGCCTAAAATCGCCTAAACTTTAAGCCCTGCTACTGAGGGGTTTCGTGGTGAACTTCTCAGCAAGGGACTAAGCAGGTTGCCCTGCCCTGCTACTGACAAAAGGTCAACGGAGGCAGCATTCAGCACTTTTGGAAGCATGCGCGTTGAGGGAGAATGAGTTGTGACCTTGACTACGAAAAACCGTATAAGCCCCACGCAATCGAAGCCCTCAACCCCAACTCTGGACTCCCAAACCCCTAAAACCCTAAACCAACCCAGAATGCCGAAACCCTAAACCATAAACCCGAAACCCTAACCCTCAGACCGCCCCCCCCCCCCCCCCCCCAGGCTGCTGCATCACTCGCCAGAGATCGACTTGGCCTCGTGGGTGCAGGTTAGGGCGGCGAAGACGGTTTATGGGTTAGGGTTTAGGGTTTAGGGTTTAGGGTTTAGGGTTTAGGGTTTAGGGTTTAGGGTTTAGGGTTTAGGGTTTAGGGTTTAGGGTTTAGGGTTTAGGGTTTAGGGTTTAGGGTTTAGGTTTAGGGTTTAGGTTTTAGGGTTTAGGGTTTTTTGTTTAGGGTTTAGGTTTAGGGTTTAGGGTTTAGGGTTTAGGGTTTACTGTATTCGGGTTTCGGGTTGCTATTGTTAGGGATCAAGTTCAGGGATAATACGGTACATAGGGTTCAGGGTTCGGCGTTCAGCGGGCCCTGCTGTCGTAGGTTTTGAAACCCTTGAAGTTCGTGATGCGAAGGAACTCCCGATGTCTCTGAGGTTTGTGGGAGTTGAGAGACGTTTGGGGGGTGGGGGGGGGGGGAGGGGATTAATGTTTAGGGTTTAGGGCTTGTTAGGGGAGATTGTTTTTGAGTGTGTTTTTGCATAGCTTTGGTTTTGGCTGGAGGTTCTGTCAGTGTTGGGCTTGGAATTCTGATTTATCGGGCGTTTGGTTACCCTGGTTCTTCCCCGACCCCCTGTCGTCCGACTACACAAACCTAAACCGCCGGACTCTTAAACTTGCACATCCGTAAACTCCCGAAAGAACCCACATCTGGACCAAAAAGGCCCCCCGATGTTTCGAGCTGTTCGCGGCAAACCCTACACCGAAAAGCCGAAATCTTTGGGGGGGAGGGTTAAGGTTTAGGGTTTAAGGTTTATAGGGTTCAAGGTTTAGGGTTTATAAGGTTTATAGGGTTTAAGGTTTAAAGGGTTTAAGGTTGAGGGCCCAGCCTCACGCCTTTATTCGTGTGCGTCTTCTGATGGAACAAATGGCATGGCAACCCTTTCGCATGACCCAAATAATTTCAAGATGCCCGTCCCAAAACTGGAGGGCCCCCAATGTTCGCAGCCAGGGAGCGCGATGTGTAAACTTAGTGTTTGGGGTTCAATGTTTGGGGTTTGTTTCCAGGGTTTAGGGTTTAGGGTTTAGGGTTTAGGACGACCCCAGGGGCTTAGTCGTGAAGCCCAGGTTTATTCGCAGCAGATCAAGATGTGCCGAGATGTGGCACGGGCCATGTGCTACCTGCACACCTTTAACCCAATGCCGCTCGCCTGGTCTTAGCTGAACCCTAAACCCCAAACCCCAAACCCCAAACCCCAAACCCCAAACCCCAAACCCCAAACCCCAAACCCCAAACCCCAAACCCCAAACCCCAAACCCTAAACCCTAAACCCTAAACCTGGAAACCCAGAGCCGAACCCTTAGTCCCAAGGAAAGCCTCGGCTTGAGCCCCAAAGAGCACCGCAAGCCCTATGAAACCCAAAGGCCTTAAGCCCTAGCTTTAGGGTTTGGGGTTTAGGGTTTAGGGTTTAGGGTTTAGGGCTAGACCTCATGGATCCTCCACCCTCCACCTACCAACGATTGGAATGTTCCCCCTTATACTAACGGCCCTGAACAGGGATGATGATAGGGGGGTACTACAATCCCTATTCAGGACTGTTAGTATCTGTTAGTATAAGATGTTCCGACCCAAGGACCTTAGCCCCTTGAACCCCCAAAGACCTTAGAGGCACACAAACCCTAAACCCCAAAGACCATAAGCACCCATACCTTACCCCAAACCCTAAACCCTAAACCCTAAACCCTAAACCCTAAACCCTAAACCCTAATTTAAAACCCTTGACAGGTGTATTTGTCCAAGACTCCAGAGCAATCGGCTTCTCCCCGCCATGAACTACTTGGGGCTAGGGGTACCCTTAGACCTAAATTCTCCCGCTCCCCCCACAAACAGAAGCCCTTAAACTCGAATGCAACCAAAGATCCGACTACGGCCCTTGAGGCTAGCGGCCCCCAACATCCAGAAGACAACAAAAGGAGAAGAAGCTCCAAACCGTAAACGCCCAAGATCCCTGGCAGTCGCATTGGGCTTGATGAAAATTCTGACTAGTCATGGGTCTCCTTCTCTCTCTCTCTCTCTCTCTCCCTCTCTCTCTCTCTACCAAGCCCCAAACGTCAACACCCCAGACACCGTGGATGGTCAAGTTTCCCGTAAACCGGAACCTTAAACCCAAATCCCCGCCTATGGCTCTCTGGTTTGCGGGGGTTGTAGGGTTCCAGGTTGTAGGGTTTGGTACCCGCAAAAGGACCCTCGAATAGACACACACACACACACACCTCCAAACCGCAAAAACCCCCCAATAAAACCCTCAAGACCCTAAAGACCTCAGAAACCCCAAAACCACCCTAAACCCCAAACCGCGAAACCCCAAATCCTAAACCCACACATGTCAGGATTATCCACCGTGACCTCAAGTCCCTGAACCTCCTTTTGGACAAGCCAGTTAAAGGCGCGCGCGCGCGCGCACGGACGAGGTTGTCGGCTCCAGGGTCTGTCGGTTGGCTTCAGCACCTTGAGGGTGTGAAGCCCCAGGCCCTAAACCCTAAACCCTAAACCCGGGGGGGAAGGTGTAGGGTTTAGGGTTTAGGGTTTAGGGTTCAGGGTTCAGGGTTCAGGGTTCAGGGTTCAGGGTTCAGGGTTCAGGGTTTAGGGTTTAGGGTTTAGGGTTTAGGGTTTAGGGTTCAGGGTTCAGGGTTTAGGGTTTAGGGTTTAGGGTTGAGGGTTTAGGGTTTTGGCATGTGGGGCTTATACGGTTTAGGAGCTTGCATTATTTGCTGTTGGTTTATGGCTCTAGGGCTTTTCAAGGGTTGCTTACGGGTTGCTTAAGGATTAATTTTGGGGGGGAGGGTGTCTGGCGGCAAATTTGTTTAAAACCTTATATTTCAGGCCTAGCGGCACGGGCCGGCCCCCGCCCCCCAAAGCACGAAACCTTGAACCTTGGCACTGTCTTCTCTTTCCCGTGTCTTTGTCCTCTCCTTCTCTCTGTCTCTCTTTCTCCTGCCTTCGCCCCCCCTCCCTCCCCCCCCCTCCCCCCCCGGCCGCGCGCGCGCGCGCGCCGCGCGCGCGCGCGCGCACCCGCATCAGGAGCATCAGTGGGGTTGGTTTGGGGGCCTTAAAAGCATTCTATGCATGCGTTTTGCCTTCGAAAAACCTTCAGAAAACGCTGTAAACACGTGTTTTTGGGCTTGGGAAGCCTTTTGGGACCCAGGAAAGGGAGCATCATGAGCATCAGCGGCCTCCCCCAGGCCATCCAAAACCCCCTTAAACACGCCGATTGTATGTGCTTGAACGCTTGCGTGCCCACGAAACCCCCAAAAGCAAGACCCCGAATGCCCTTAAGGGCATTCGGGGTCCTGCTGTTCGGGTGTTTTGTAGGCACGAAGCCGTTCGAGCGCGTAAAATGAGCGATTTTAGGGGCGTTTTTACGTGGACCCACAAAACACTCGGTATTTACGAGGTTTTCTGCTGTTGGAACACCCCCCCAAACCGAGCATCATGAGCATCAGCTGGGTCTCTGGGCCGTGGGCCCGGAGGCCCACGAAGCCCACATGAGAAACGATGGCTCGATGATGCCCCGGACCCCCGCGCATCAGCAGCATCAGCAGACCCCCCCCCGACGTGGGTTTCGATGATGCGCACTTTGGGGGCGGGTCAAGGGCAACAAGGGTGGGGGTCGGAGGCACGCGTGAAAACCCTCATAAAAACACGGTATTTACGGTGATTTCAGCGTTTTTCAGCGTTTTTTCTTGCCTTGGGTCCGCGGGCCAGGGCTGCTGATGCTCATGATGCTCGCCTGGTTTTGGGCTTCCGGTACCCCCCCCAAACCTTGAAAAACATGGTTTCGGCCTGGCGCGCGCCCCATGTGAAAAGCTAGGGTCGATGATGCGCGCCCGTGAGGGTTTAATGGGGTGCTGCGGGTGTTTTGTGGCCTCGGTTTTTCGTAAAAACCCATGGTTTTTACGAGGTTTTCGTGCTTTTCGCACCACCGCGTGTTGCGTCCCCTTGGATGCCGTTTTGGAGGCCTCCCGAAGGGCCCCGCGCGAATTTGAAGCAATTTTGGGCGGGGTCGGCGGCTCGGGCGCTCGCCCCTTAAAGCTAGCGCTTTAGTGCGACGCGGGCTCCGCCCTGGACCACGGGCGGCGCGGGGGCCGGATTTAGGAGCCTCCGGCTCAGGCCGCCGACCCACGATGCCCGAAACCTCTCAACCCTCAAACCCCTAACCCTAAACCCCACACCCGACACCCAGAACCCTAATCCCTCAAAAACCCTCACTCCAGGTTTTAAGCCTCTGTGGGTCTAATGCTCTTGTCTTTAGGGTAGCCTTAGGGCTTTGGGTTCGACCTTTGGGGCAGGTTTTGGTTGGGCTGTAGGGTAAAGGTTTGGGGTTTAGGGTTTAGGAAACGACGATATCTACTGCAAACCCCGATACGAGTCGAGTCGGTCAGTCTGGAGGGGCGGGCTGGTGTGGGGGTGTGGGGGTGTGGGGGGTGTTGGTGGGTGGGGGGGGTGGGGGAAAGGGTGGGGGGGGGGGGGGGGGGGGGTTGGGGTGGGGTGGGGTGGGGGGGGGGGCGGGTCGGGGCGGGGTGTTGGGCGGGGGGTGGTGGGGGGCGGGGGACCGCCTATGCTCGATGCGGTCCTCCACGAACAAATTGTGTATCCCCACCCGCCCCCCGCGTTTTGGGGGTGAGGGGAGGGGAGGGTTCCCGGGTCGGCGGACCCTAGACCCCCAAACCCATGGCCGAACCTACAGCTTGGAGCTTCAGGGGAATTCGAATGTCTTTTGGGGATTCTTTCGGGCTGGGTTTCGACTGGTGTGCCTTGCTGACCACGCAGTGAATAGTTTACGAAAAACGTGGGCTGTGGGCATTTTTTGGGGGACTGGGGGGGTCTAAAAATTCCGGGGGTCTGGGGTGTCGGGCCCTAAACCCTAAACCCTAAACCCTAAGTGAGTTCAGAGGGCACAGGATTTAGGGAACGAAAGCAGAGGCGCTGCGAGCACTAAACCCTAACCCCTAAACCCTAAACCCTAAACCCTAAACCCTAAACCCTAAACCCTAACCCTAAACCCTAAACCCTAAACCCTAAACCCTAAACCCTAAACCCTAAACCCGAAACCCTAAACCCTAAACCCTAAACCCTAAACCCGTTTTCCCTGGCAGATACCTGCGGAACAGCGATGCTTATCATGAGCCCATGCGAAAGGTGTGGGATCTAATTCCCTGAGCCCTGGCCCTGAACCCCAAATAAGCCTTTAATGGCTTAGGTTTCAGTTGCTACGATTTGCTTAAGAACCCCCCAAAAAATGGAGAAACAAAACATCCCCATATTACCCCAAAATTGAAGAATATGTTTCTATTTCTTGGGTGACTCTTAAGCAATTGGTAGGTTAGAGGAGTCTCTGAACTGCAGGACCCACGGATGAGCCACTGATCAAGGCTGGCCGTTGTTCAGGGAGTCACGTTCATCCCTTCGGGAGTCTTCGCGAAGCTTGATCAAAGAACAGAGCTAGAATCCCCCAAATCCTAGACCCTTCGCCCTAAACTCGAAATCCTAACCCCAATCCCCAAGCCCTCAACCAGTTCATGCAGCTGCACAGACTAGTGGATTCAAGTTGCACCGAACCCCGAGTGCTTCCTGAACCTAGACTAGGTCCCGAAACTCCATACCCTAAACCCGGAACCCTAAATTCCCTAAACCCGAGTCCAATTTACTCATTGCCCAGAGTTTACATCAACCTGTCATCTGGACGATGTTCATAGCATATCGTCCACAGTGCCATAGCGCTCTGTGGTAGCTAACCATACTCGCAGTTGTGGTGGTTAGCTGATGACGATGATTGTAATTGTCATGACCATGAACATTGTTGAAAAACGGGTTGTTGCATTGTGGCCTGCTACTTGTTGGGGTCTGGGGGCCTGGGTAGCTCCCGACGCCTCCATTCGGAATAGCCCAACCCCAGAACCTAACTAAGCCCAAGCCCTCAAACCTAAACCCCGTAAGCCCTAAATTGGTTGCGTTCAAAATTCGCGTGTCTGTTTAGGTCCTTCATTTTGATATGGGCTTGGCCGGCATATTTTCATGTCTTTGCTATAAGGCGACACGCAGGAAGAGCCACTAAAACCCCATTGTGGCGCCAGGAAAAACGCTAGGTTCGCGGTAGGTATACAATAACCAGATGTTACATTCCCATGCTGCCACTGGCCAAACGTTCTGAGGTCTTTCGCGTTCCGCTAACGACTTTGTGATTCACTTGTCCTGTTGCTGATGCGCACCGGCAAGTTCTGTGGCTCCAAGTGCGTGCTCGAGCTGCAGGTCTTGTTTACGACTTCAACATGCCTTGGGAAGTGTCTTGGGTGAGCTCTGCGGGTGCTTTGGGACTTCTCTTGCGGGATACGATCAGATCGTGCAAACGCAGGACCGTATCACGCGCTAGCGCCGCGCTAGCTCGGCGCCAGCAAAATCTCAACGCAACATAACCCTAAACCCTAAACCCTAAACCCTAAACCCTAGACCCTAGACCCTAAACCCTAAACCGTACACCCTAAACCCTAAACCATACCCAGGAAGGCCTTGGCCCACGGCACGGATTTACAGCCACTGGATGCAATCATTGAATCGCGCGTGGCAGCTTCTAAGCTATTGCAGGCATTATGGCGCGCAGCGAGCCTACCTCCCCTACCCACCCTACCAGCCCTACCCTACCCACCCTATCCACCTCTCATACCCACCCGACCAACCCTACCAACCCCCCCCCCCCCCCCCCCCCTCCCCCTAAAACCTAAGCGCCATAAACCCTAAACCCCAAAAACCTAAACCCTAAACCCCACCCACACACCCACAAGACCCCCCCCCCCCCCACATCTGGAGGTTTGCGACTTCGGCGTGGCGAAGTTCCAGGTGCCTCCGGGCTGTGGGCTGGTGGGTTTAGGGGGTCGAGGGTTACGTACCCTAAACCCTAAATCCTAAACCCTTTTAAAACCTTACTCCTAAACCCTAAATCCTAAACCCAAAATCCTAAACCCTAAATCCTCCTAAATCCTAAACCCGAAACCCTAAACCCTGAGGGTTCAGGGTTACGGTGTGGTTTTGGGGGGTTTTGGGGTTGGGGACCGCGGTCTCCCACAAAGACCTAAAGCCCTGAAGTTGTTGAAGCTTGCATCCCTAAGGCAAAAAGCCCCCAAAACCTCCAAAACTCCATGGTCACAACCCCCCCAGAGAACACATGGTAGGGTTTAGGGTTCAGGGTTCAGGGTTTAGGATTTAGGATTTAGGGTTTGGGGTTTAGTGAGGAACGTCAGCCACTCAGCGCTCTGCTTCTTTGGGGTTCGATGCATTCAACCCCTCAACCCTCAACCAGCAACCCTAAACCCCAAATTAAATCCCCTCAACCGCTAAACTGGAAACCCTAAACCCGAAACCCTAAACCCGAAACCCGAAACCCTACAAGCCCTAAACCCGAAAGCCCAAACCGTTCAGCCCTCCACCGCCGTGGGCTTAGGGCTTAGGGATTCAGGGTTTGGGGATTTAGGGTTCTAGGGTTTAGGGTTTAGGGTTTAGTGCTCAATGTGAGGTCCAAGACGGCGACTGGGGCCAGATGACCAACCAGGAACTGGGGAGGGGGTGGGGGGTTTAGGGTTTAGGGTTTAGGGTTTAGGGTTTAGGGCTTAGGGTTAGGGTTTAGGGTTAGGGTTTAGGGTTTAGGGTTTAGGGTTTAGGGTTTAGGGTTTAGGGTTTAGGGTTTAGGGTTTAGGGTCTAGGGTCTAGGGTTTAGGGTTTAGGGTTTAGGGTTTAGGGTTTCGGGTTTCGGGTTTAGGGTTTCGGGTTCCTAGGTAGGCCCTTGGGACATTTTTTGTATTTGCCTTTGTTGGATTGAAGAGGATGGGCCATCCCTGGGTCCCGCATGTTTGGGGCTTCTCTGGTTTAGGCTGGGCTTACTAAACCCTGACTTCTGAACCCTGAACCCTAAACCCTAAACCCTAGACCTACACCCTAAACCCTAAACCCGTTTAGGGTTGGTTTATAGTGCTTCGTAGGGCTTTGGGGGGTTTAACCGTTTGGGGGTTTAGGGTGGGCTTGTCGGGCTTCAAGGGCTGCTTTCGGACAAGGGTGTAAGTTTTGGGGCAGGCTTGGGGAGGAGGGGGGGGGGGGGGGGGGGAGGGGGGGAGGGGGGGAGGGGGGGAGGGGGGGGGAGGGGGGGAGGGGGGGAGGGGGGGAGGGGGGAGGGGGGGGAGGGGGGGAGAGGGGAAGGGGGGGAGGGGGGCGGGGGGGGGAAGGGGGGGCGGGGAGGGGGGGGGGGGGGGTTGGAGCCCATTCACCTAAACCTCTTGTAGGGCTGAGGGTTCAGGATTCCGGTTTGTGGGTGAACATTCAGCAAAAGTCGCCCCCCCCCCCCACTTGCTTTTGCTTCGAGGAAGCGACCGTGGATGTAACCATCATAGTACATGGAGGAGTGGATGATTACATGCCATGAGAAGGATGGAGATGGTATTCTTAGTACTCCTGGGGGAGGACTATAATATCATCGGGGAAGGGATTGAAGGGATTGCAGACAGCCACATGATGCTGACGATCGCGGGCGAATGCGTTGGCCATCACTGGCCAGAGAAGTTGTCAACGCGTGCTAGATGCATCGACGTTTTCCTTGACTTTACAGACTTTACATGGTGTTTCAAGAATGGTCACTGGTTCTCATCTTCTATGATTTGAGCTTGGCATTCTCATTCGTGCGTTTGGTTGCAGCTAAACATCGCGGGGAAGCTTCGCTTGGTCTTCGAGTGCTCTTGGGAGCGACCTTGCACTTACGGCGGCCGCTGCTTACGCACTTCTTCCGCGAACCTCACGCGCAGCTTACGCCAGGTGAGTCCTTGGCCTGTTCTTCATATATCTTGGCTTTGACATTGTTCGGGTGTGGGGGGCTCGAAGATCAATGCGCACGAATCTCACGTGTGAGAGGATTTATCTTCGCTACGTGAATTTCAGGTGTGGGAGGCTCGAAGATCAAAGCTCGGCACGTGGTTTTCGCGTGTGAGAGGTTCGAAGATCAACGGTCGGCACGTGAATCATGGGTGTGCGCGGCAGAAAGATCAACGCTCGATACGTGAAACTCGGTTGTGGGAGGCTTGAAGATCAAGATCTCATTGATGCACCGTTTCATTGCGTTTACATGGTCATGTTCTTGGCGCATGTGAATTGACAAGAATCCACATCAACCTGTGGGAAAGGTTTGCCGTCTCACCTTGCGTTTACTTCAGGGAAAGTTTGGGTGGGACCTTTTGGGGTCATGGGTGGACTGCGTTTGAAAGGCAGCCGGAGGCAAAGTGGATGGGACTAGGGCGGTCCGCTGTAAAGGGTCTGCAAGGGTATGTAGCCGCACTTCGAGACTTCGAGTAATTAGCATCAACCCGCACGTGTCATGTGGAGCATTAGCATTGGGGTTCAAGTTCTGAGGTTCGTTGGTTTGTGTACCTAAACCCTAAACCCTAAACCCTAAACCCTAAACCCTAAACCCTAAACCCTAAACCCTAAACCCTAAACCCTGAACCCTGAACCCTGAACCCTGAACCCTGAACCCTGAACCCTGAACCCTGAACCCTGAACCCTGAACCCGGAACCCTGAACCCTGAACCCTGAACCCTGAACCCTGAACCCTGAACCCTGAACCCTGAACCCTGAACCCTGAACCCTGAACCCTGAACCCTGAACCCTACCCCTAAACCCTAAGCAAAAACGCCCCTGGAAGGCCGGAACCAAGCATTGGATGGCCCCCGAAATGTGGATCGGATCCACTTACGACGAGAAGGCACGGTGCGGGGGTGTGAGCGCTTGGCATTCTTTCCTAGGGTTTAGCAAGAGCTTAGGGTTTAAGAGTTTAGGGGCTTATTTGATTTGGCGTAAGAGTTTGGGAGTTTAGGAGATTTTGGGAGGGCTGAGGAGTTTTAGGGTTTTGGATTTCATTGATGATCTTCACCGCATTCTACAGGAGTTTGTGCCACTAGTGCATGTGGAAAGGCTAGACAGGGGCAAAAGGCTTTGTATCTCTTGCCCAGCATGTCATGTTGTCGTGTTACCCCAAACGAGATCACATTCAATTCCATGATGTTTTTAGCGCAAATGCCGGAATTCAAAGCTGAGGCCGATCTGACCGGCTTCAAAACGACTGTCGAAGCGTGTGCAGGAGTTTCAGGGTTCAGAAATCCTTGCACCAATACTCGTAGCTCTTACCCTGAAACCCTGAAACCCTAAACCCTAAACCCCTAAATGAAACCTTCCTGTGTGCCCTGAACCCGCACAGCGCCACTCCGGGAAGGTGGACGTGTTTTCCTACGCCATGGTTATCTACGAGATCATCTGCCGTGAGGTGCCTTTCGAGGAGGAGGCCCGTTGAAGGTTTAGGGTTTAGGGTATGGGGTTCAGGGTTCAGGGTTCAGGGTTTAGGGTTTAGGGTTTAGGGTATAGGGTTCAGGGTTCAGGGCTCAGTATATGTAAAGTGCCGGTTAATAAGAGTAGTAAATGAGTGAATAAAAGCCTTCAAAACCATTATCTTAATGAGTTCTTGTGCATGAAAACCGTAATGATTTGTTGTCTTTTTCCTAGCTTCTGGTGAACGAGAACCCCCTCGAAGATTAAGAAATTAGTGCTCCGTTCGTGCTTTTAATGTGTTCGCATGCACGGTTAGATTACTTAAGTGAACACGCATGAACATGCGAAAAGCGTAAAGTTCTCCTTAAAAAGCCGAGGCGAAAGGGGTGTTTATTTGCACGATTATAACAAAATAGATTGTGTTCCCGTGTCGCTCTTTCGATCACTTATTCGCCCATTATCTTCTCTAGGGAACATCTGAACAATAACATTGGAATGCTAGATCCTTTAATATTTTCAATCTTGTGCGCAACAAAAGAAGCATGACTTTTGCATGAATCGATGATCACCTGGACGGGCTTTTAACATGTAAGTGAATTGTATGCTCACGAAAGTCCCCAAAGAGGCTGTATAGCTTTATGATTACATGTTGATTTCGATTATTCGTTCGTATTTTTTGTAAGAAAAGACAGAGAGACAGATGGATGAGAAAATACCAAAATAGAATTATAAATAGGGCCTTTGATGAAGATGTTAGTTAAAACACACAGCAGGGTTTAGGGCTTGAGGCCTTCGGGGTGCAGGGTTTAGCGGCACGGCCCAAACCCTATAAGCACTCCTAAACCCTAAACCCTAAACCCTAAACCCTAAACCCTAAACCCTAAACCCTAAACCCTAAACCCTAAACCTAAACCCTTAGCACAACCAAGTTTCAGTCCTCTAAGCCCAAAAAAAACGAACCCCTGCGCCCCCAAAACCTGTGCTGCATTCTGGGCTTCGAAACAACCCTAATTCCTAGACTAGTGGTTTAGGGTTTAATTAGGGTTTAGGGTTTAGGGTTTAGGGTTTAGGGTTTAGGGTGTAGGGTTTAGGGTTTAGGGTTTAGGGTTTAGGGTGCCTTTGTGCTGCCAGGAGCCGACAGATGTCGGAAAATACACCGTGGCCGGCATCCGACCTGACATGGACTGTTGGCCGAAGATTGCTATTCTTAGTAAAACCCTAAACCCAAAACCCAAAACCCTAAACCCTAAACCCTAAACCCTAAACCCTAAACCCTAAACCCTAAACCCTAAACCCTAAACCCTAAAAGCTGAGCGAGCACGGTCCCTTTGGAGGTTCCGGCTATAACACGGAGCCTGCATAATTTGGGTCCCCCCCAAGCCAAAGGGTTTTAGGTTTAGGGTTTAGGGTGTAGGGCTACCCTAAACCCTAAAACCTATAACCCTAAACCCTAAAACGCTTTACACTTTTTGGGATACTATAATCCCCTCTAGAACTGAAGGTGTACACTTGTTTGGGGCTTATGAACTCAGCAACTAAGTATTGGGTGAAAGCCCTCAAAGGGCTTCTATATCCCCCTTTGGGGTTTTTTGTTTATACAAAACCCAAGAGGACATTAAAGGTATTTGTTTATTGAGTTTCTAAGGGGAGTATAGCAAAGGGCTTTTTCAGGGCTACAGGAAAACTCCAGAAAGTTGGAACATGGCTTAAGGATGATTCGAGCTGGGATTCCCTCTAGTGTCCCTTTTGGGTTGTGAGGATAAGGATCCAACTTTTTGGAGTTTACTAGGAGACCTTGAGCCCCTCACCCCTTCAACCCCAACTCCAACCCCCAAACCCTAAACCAGGGTTTGGGGTTTAGGGTTTAGGGTTTAGGGTTTAGGGTTTAGGGTTTAGGGTTTAGGGTTTAGGGCTTTAGGGTTTAGGGTTCTAAGCCTCCTAAACCCCAAGCGCCAAAACCCCCGGTTTTCAGATTAGGCGGGGGCTGCGGTGTCAACCAACAGCTATGGCTTCATGACCTGTTTGGGGCGCTTCAGGCTGTTTTGAGGATTGGTTGCTTTTAGGCTCGAGGTAGAGATCCCCAGATAGTAGGATCCCCTTATGAAAAGGACCCCAATATGGCAACAAAATTTTTCGGAAACCCCAGAGGGTCTGCTTTGCGCCAAGTAACCATGAACCCGAAAGCCCAAAAAACTCTTCCTGAATTCTTCCCAAGGGGTTTAGGGTTTAGGGTTTAGGGCTTAGGGTTTAGGGTTTAGGGTTTAGGGTTTAGGGTTTAGGGTTTAGGGTTTAGGACCCTGAACCGTTACATCCCTCAAGTCCCTTAAGCCTAAGCCTCACCCTAACCCCCCCCCCCCCCCACCCCGCTCCCCCCAAAGAAGCCCCACAAGTCCCTATAAACCTGAACCTTGAACGCTAAACCCTAAACCCTAAACCCTAAACCCTAAACCCTAAACCCTAAACCCTAAACCCTAAACCCTAAACCTCCCCTGACCCAGGATGCCGTACCTCCCGATTGCCCCTCGCAACTCCTGGATGTCATGAAGGCCGTCTCTTTCAAGATTCTGAGGTGTAGGATTTCAGGGTTATATAGGGCTTAGGGCTTAGGGTTTAGGGTTTAGGGTTTAGGGTTTAGGGTTTAGGGTTTAGGGTTTAGGGTTTAGGGTTTAGGGTTTAGGGTTTAGGGTTTAGGGTTTAAGTAGGGTTAGGATTTAGGGGTTTAGGGTGCTTATGTAGGGGTTTAGGGCTTAGAGGGCTTCGGGTTGCCATGTGGGGTTATAGTTTTGGGGCTATTCAAAGCTCTAGGGTCTAGGATTCAGGGCTTTGGGGGCTCTAGCTTTTTGAGGCGCATTGGGGGTTCCGGTTCGGTTCCCCGTCGTCAGCCTCTACGCAGCCTTCGGAAAAGGCTGAGGCCGCAAAACGGCCCTAAGCCCCCAACCTCTGAAGCCCTGACGCCCTTAAGGCCTAAGGCCCTAGCCCCTAAACCCTAAACCCTAAACCCTAAACCCTAAACCCTAAACCCCAAACCCCAAACCCCAAACCCCAAACCCTAAACCCCAATCCGATCTTAACCGGCTCCTGAAGATGGTGGTGCATGCCGCATGCCTGTTGGGCCCTCAGTATGGTCCCTTACCCTTGTTTAAAGGGATCCGAAGTGTGGGCCCTTACAATGTAGTGTATACAAGGCTTCTATACCAGGGGACCCGAAATAAGGGCTCCTAAACCCTAAACCCTAAACCCTAAACCCTAATCCGAAAGATGGTGGTGCAGGCCTGTTGGGCCCACGATCCCGCGGCTCGGCCCTCTTTTCCCATCGTGCTGGAGAAGATCGAAGCGGTGCGTGGTTGAGGCCGCCATGTCAAGTTGGGGGTTTAGGGTTTAGGGTTTAGGGTTTAGGGTTAGGGGGTTAGGGGTTTAGGGGTTTCGGGGTTTAGGGTTCTCTTAAACCCTAGGTTTAAGGGGGTTTAGGTGGCTAGGGGTTTAGGGGTTTAGGGGTATGGGCTCGGGAGTTGAAAGGGCCTGAGGGTAGCCAGGTAACTTGACCTTCTTGTCGGCTTCGTTTAAGTGTTTAGGGTTTAGGGTTTAGGGTTTAGGGTTTAGGGTTTAGGGGCTTGCATGTGACTTTTTTGCTCCAGAGCCTCACAACAATCCCGATCAGGCCGGCATCTTACAGAGGAGATGTTGGGGTGGCAAGCCCTAGCAGTAAACCAGGGCTTAGGGTTTATAGAGCTTAGGGTTCAGGGTCTAGGGTGTAGGGTGAAGGGTGCTTGAACTTTGAGAGACATGTGTGGGTAGAAGCCCTTATCCCGAATACGAGATGCTGACTGGCCAACGCCACACCGGTGGTGAGAAGGCATAGAGAACTACTCTCATCTTGGCGACCCCTTTGAGGCATCAGTCCGTTCCCAAGGGAACATGGGGCCGCAACTAGGTACAGAGTACAAAAAAATGAGGTTTTAGGGTTTAGGGTTTCGTTTATGGTGGAAGTTTGGGTTTAAGTTTCTCCTCAAGCCCGAGCCCGAAGCCCTGGACCCTGAACACTTGTCAGGCAATCTCGTGACCCCGCATGCGCTCGACAATACAGTACCACGTGCTTTGGCAAATTGGGGCTATTGGGGTTATCGGGCTTCAGGGTGCAGAGTTTAGGGTTTTTGGTGCCGTTCCTGGGTACATACAGGGAACCCTCTGAAGAGTTCAATTGCCTAAACATTGAAAACCCCAAACCCTCAAGACTAGACGAACCTTCAGACCCTCAAACCCTCATCCAAAAACCCCAAAACCCTAATCCTTAAAGCCTGAAGGTAGCCCTAAACCCTAAACCCCTAAACCATAGACCCTAAACCCTAAACCCTAAACCCTAAACCCTAAACCCTAAACCCTAAACCCTAAACCCTAAACCCTAAACCCTAAACCCTAAACCCTAAACCCTAAACCCTAAACCCTAAACCCTACAGGGTTGCATCATTGAAGGCTGAGGAGAGTGAATGGCCGGTGACAACCAGACTTCCGCTCCCAACCCAGCGGTTTGAGTACGCCATCGAGCTGAAACGAAGCGGTCTGTTGCTTGGGGCCCAGGAGGTTCAGGGTTTAGGGTTTAGGGTTTAGGGTTTAGGGTTTAGGGTTTAGGGTTTAGGGTTTAGGCATTTAGGGTTTAGGAGGGTTTAGGCCTTAGGTCTGATGTTTAGGAGGGTTCAGGGCTTATTCGCGTGCCCTTGTGAGGGCCTGCGTGGTCTCGGCCCAGTTCAGGGTGGGCGTTGTCCCCCCTATACCCCATATTTATACCCCTAAACCCTAAACCCTAAACCCTAAACCCTGAACTCTTATCTAACCTTCAGTACCCTTCTACACGCCCTGGAGAAGCACTTCGGTGAGGCAACTTGGAAGTCCCCCTCCTGAAGCTGACAGACAGGACGCCTCGAATCTAAACCCTAAACCCTAAACCCTGAACCCCAAACCCCACAACCTAGATGTCCTGGGTGTGGCTTCTCAGGGTTCAGGGCTTTTTGTCTTCGAAAGCCCAAACTCTGGCGCGAAGCCAAAAGGGCTGTGGGTTTGGCCTGTGGAGGCCTCCACTCTTCCATCTTCACAATCTACCGGAATCTGCTCTGCCGGAATGGTAAGATTCAGTGGGTAGCTAGAACCCTAAACCCTAAACCCTAAACCCTAAACCCTAAACCCTAAACCCTAAACCCTAAACCCTAAACCGCATCTTTCTGGGGCTCCAGCTGTCCAAAGCACGCTGTGTCTTCCCCACGCCCAGCATGGCGAAGGGAGGCCGGGTGTGGGGTTTAGGGCTTCAGGTTAGGGTTTAATGTTGAGGGTTTGCAAGGTTTAGGGTTTATGGTTTAGGGTTTAGGGTTCAGGGTTTAGGGGGCCCCTAAGCCCTGAACCCTCGGCCCGAAAGCCTTGGGGTCAAGCCCTCCCCAGCCGAAGAGGCCCGACCTTCTAAGCCTTAACCCCTAAAAGGGAACCCTGGATTCGGCCCTTAGGGTTTAGGGTTTAGGGTTTAGGGTTTAGGGTTTAGGGTTTAGGGTTTAGGGTTTAGGGTTTAACACGAAACCCTTAAACCCTGGAAGTGCATTTTTGGGTTTAGGGTCGACGGCTTAGGGTTTAGGGTTGAGGGAGCCCTATACACTGGACTCCGCACCCTAAGTCCTTAGAAGCACTAAAGCCTAAACCACCCAGACCTAACCTCTAAACCCCTGAACCCAAAGCCCAAGACAACCCCCACCCAAAAAAAAAACAAAATAATAAATACATGAATAAATAAATACACAAATAAAAAATAATAATAATAACAATAGTTCTGAGGCTTTTGGGCTTTCGGGGATGTAGGGGGTTGAGAGTTTGGGGTTTATGCCTTTCGCGGCGTTTAAGGTTTAGGGTCTTCGCGGGCTTCGGGGCTGTAAAGCAGTCGCCGTTGGCCCTAAACCTTCAACATCATGGGGATCCTATTCATTGGGCATCAGAAGGTTACTTGTGCCTTTTGCTGGGTTGGGCTTGACGGTCTAGTTTTTTTTTCAAGGTTTCTGCAAAGGAGGGAGAGTTTGCGATATCGGTTTTCGGGCCTAGCGCACTGTGGGCGAAATCCCAAACTCTCGACCCTCCTAAACTCTCGACCCCAAACCCTCAACCCTAAACTCTAACCCTAAACCCTAAACAATCAAAGACTCTGCGAAGGTCCGGTTCGACTGGCACTGCTACTTATCCTGGCCACGGCCGGGAGGGTTTGGGAGGTTGCCCACATCTTGGGAGTTATACTCGGAACCCTAAACCCTAAACCCTAAACCCACTCAGAACCCTAAACCCTAAACCCTAAACCCTAAACCCTAAACCCTAAACCCTAAACCCCTAAGAGGTTCCCCTCATAGACTCCTAGTATGGCCTTTCTATTCCCCTAGAGGATCCTTATCAAGGGTGCAACCTTAGGGGTCCAAGCTAGAGTCCCGCATGTACCGCCAAGAAGCCCCCTTAAGATACTCCTACTATGGCCCTCATGTTCCCCTAGACTCGACGATCCTTGACACAACCTGAAGGGGTCCAAGCAAGAGCCCCATGATGACAGGATTTAGTGGTGCAAGCTTCTTCACAAGTAACTAAGCTGCGATAGCAGTTCCAGCATATGTGAATAATACTCTAATCGAATGCCGTCATGGACGCATGTGCAAAAGGAGGGTTCCAACCCTAAACTCTCAACCTAAGCCCCAAACCCCAAACCCAAAGTAGGTCTAGAGACTGGAGCAGGGTGGAGGCATGGAGACTGTTAAAGCCCCCAAACCCATGATTTCCAGTATGATGCCCTCATCATCCTCTGTGATATATAGACAACAGACAGACCTAAACAACCCATTCCAAGAAGCAATAAATATGCGCCTTTTTGCCCTTGCAGCCTTCCGTCCCTCAAAGGTGGCCTACCGCTTCTGTCGGCAAGGCCTAGTACCGTGGTCTGTTTTTTCTTTTTGTTTTTTGCTGCTGCCTTTTTTTGATTGAATGTGGTGCGCGATCACGAGAAGCAGGTGCTGCACGCATTGACTGGAATCGCACGCGGACACATGCACCGCGCTCATTGTCCCCTGCATGTAAACCCAAATAAACTCTCACACCCTAACTCCCCCCCAGCCGACCAACCTCCAAAGCCAAAACCCCTTAAGCCTCTGATTCATGTGAGGGCTTTCTAGGGACTCCTACACCCATAAACCCCTAAATCCCTGAGCCCCTAACGTTGGCCCCTCCAGCCCTAACCCCGATTTGCATGCCCATTATAGACCTTCAACCAAAAGCCCCTAAACCTTAAACCCCAAACCCCAAACCCTAAACCCTAAACCTTAAACCCTATACCCTAAACCCTACAGTGCAGGCCGCGCGTTCACCCCCGGGCGGACCAGGACCGGCTGGGGTTGGAACGGTCAGGCGCCCCGCCGCTGGCAGTTCTTTCTTTGGGGGGGAACCAACATAAGGGTTTAGAGCTTAGGGGTTAGGGTTTGGGGGTTGGGGGTTGGGGTTTAGGGTTAGGGTTTAGGGTTTGGGGTTTGGGGTCTATAGGTTGGCGGATTCGAGTTGAGGGTTTCGGGGTTTTGGGTTTCGGGATTTCGGGCATTGGGGTTTAGGGTTTCAGGGTTTTCGGGGTTTCGGAATATTTTGTTTTTTGGCTCGGCGTTTGGGGCTTGATTTTTTGGGGCTCGGGGTTTAGGGCTTGTTTCTGTTGGGGCTCCCGTTTTTGAGACTTGCCGAAACGCCCTTCAAGAGCCTACCTGTGCTTGCCTTTTGCCCAGTTTCTTAGACCCTAAGCCCTAAACCCTAAACCCCAAACCCTAAACCCTAAACCCTAAACCCCATAATGGGTTCGGGAGGTCGGAGGCTGCCCCCGGTTTTTTTTTGGGCAGCTAAGGTCTCTGAGTGTTGGGTTTTGGTTTAGGCCCCCGAGGCCCAAGACCCTGAAAAGAGCTTCCTTCCTCAGGGGCGCGACCCCAACGTTGCGCGGAACGCCGTGGAGGACGTTGCGTCCGGGGGCCAAGGAAGGTTCTGTCCTTTGCCCAAGGGTTTATAAATTAGGGTTTATGCTTTACAGGGTTTAGGGTTGAAAAGGTGGAGCTTCAAGGGTTCACGGCCTAGGATTGATGGATAGGCAAGATAGGGCAACCATCGACCATCGACCCCTGTTTGTAAGTGGCCCTTTTGGGAAGATAAGTTTCTCATGGCCGGTTGCAGAAGATGCTTTCTTTCACGGCTGAATGCAGGGAGACCTGAACCCCTAACCCATTGTAATCTCCGCGCCAAACCGATCAGAATGGCGCATGATGCGGGGGCAGGCTTCCTTCAAGGAACTTAACTCCTGAAATCGTACACGT